GAAGAAAAAGGAAATAAGTATAGAAAGAATTACAAGAAAATACACATGACTTCACACCATAATAAAAAATGGCCCATATTTTTAAGTTTTACCCGACCTAGCTTATATTGTACATATTTTGAAAGCACTAGCAAATTCAAAATTGGTGTTCTTACATCCATTGCTTCTAAAAGCTATGAAGTTAAATCTATGTTCTCGTAATCATTGCTTTCACTCCCTCTTCTTCTCACATCTCCTACATATGCTTCAAGGGGCCGTATAGTTTCTGCTTCTCCTCTTGCGTCACCGGGTTGCAATGTAAGAAAAATTGAAGAGTAGAAGTCCACCATTGAAGACCATTCAAAGCTTTGCTTTTGAAAATAGGATTTTTGAGTTTGTTAGTTGTTTGGATTGAGTGTTGTTCCAATTGATTGAAAATATCAAAAGGAGTTCAAAATTTTAAATTTGAAGTGATTTGGAGTAGACTTGAACAAGATTTGAGTTAAATTTCAGAAAAGACGCAAGGAAGAAGACGAAGTCAGTTTTTTGTATCATTATGTATAAACATGTATAATAGTGTATATGAGTGTATTAACACATCTTATACACTTTTATACAAGCGTCTGTAGACGAACTTCTTCCACGATTTTCAGTTGCAATTCTTGTTCAAAACCAGTCCAAATCTCTATTAAATGACTTTAAATTTTATATACAACCTCCTTACACTATTTCTAACAAGTCGAAATACACCCACTCCAAATTTTTCTCAAAATCAAATTTGAAATTTAAACCCACGTATTTAAGCTTGTTAGAAATCTAATTTTGACCATCCAAATGGATTTGGTTTGTTGAACTAATATTTGAGTCACAGTTACTGATTCAAAAATTAACTTAAAAGCTTGAGGAATCTTTTTTAAAAATTAAATAGTAATTTGGAGACCAGTTTTCGGACTGGTCATTCAAAAATAGCCAGCATTTACCAAGTCAATAAAAAATAGACACTATTTTGCTGCAACAGAGACCGGTCCAGCATAATATACTGGAGTTCGGTGCACCTGTGTATGAACTTCCAGCATATTATGCTGGAACTCCAACACGCGGAAAGTTCCGGCATAATCTACTGGAGATTCGAGCACTAGTGTATGAACTTCCAACATATTATACTGGACCGGTATACTTTGCTGGAACTCCAGTATATTATGCTGGAGTTCTAGTGTACTTATGCTGGAACTCCAGCATAATATACTGGCGTATTTTTCGGGTTTTGAACAGTGTTTACATGAAAAGTGGCTAGATTTCGATTGCTTTTGAAACTGGGCTATTTTTGAACGACCACTTCTAAATCTGGCTATTTTTGAATTTCTCCCTAAATTCAAATATTGGCTATAAAATTGAAAAGTAGGGAGCCCAATTGTTCTTATGTGAAATTTTCACATAAATATATTGACAAAAACGTTGAATAATAGATGCTAATTGTTATATCGGAAAAGAAAGTTCATGTTAAGCACGAAGGGCTTACAGTTTAACCCACCTAGTATCAAATGCATTAATAAAATTGTTTAATACTCGTTGAAAAGAAAAAAAGTTTGAAGCATGAAGCATGCAATAGTTTTTAGTTTTGGACATAAATTACTCCATCTGTTGAAAGAAAATATAAAATTTAAAAATAAAGTGTCACAAACCACTACTTTTAAAAATTAAAATATTCAAAAGAAATTTTTGAAACTTTTTTAGTCAAATAAAATGTATTTCTCTCTCCGTCAATTTTTCATAAATGTATTCGCCACTAATTTCAGTCAAATAAAACAAGTTGGTTCCTAATAGTAGTAGGAAAAAAGTAACAATAAACAAGTTGGGGAGTTTTATTCGTTTGTGTTTTTTAATTTAGATTCTGCTCACTGTCATTTTCAGACACTAATTAATAAGAAAAAGAAGAAGAAAAACAAGTGGCTGACTTTTTATTTAAAGTTTAAGAGAAGCAGAAAGAAATGTGTGCAAGTAATATACTGTATAAAGTTAGACATGATCAGCATAATTAACCTTATCAATCCACCATTTTGAAGAAATCAAGAATAAAATATGTTCGTTTAATTATTAACCTCTTCTTTTGTCGAGGAATATTGTCTGATTCTTTTTTGAACCTTTCGCACTCTTTTTTACTGTAAAAATAGTACTCTTAGTGACGTATTTTAGTAGAAATAGTTTTGGCTGATCATTAAATTTGAAATACGTAAACTTTAATTACATATATTCGATGTGTTTGGTAAAAAGTCCATCTTTGATTTTGCGCCAATCAGAATAACTTTATAGGACCAAAGAGAATGTGCTTACAAATTATCACCATAGGCCAGCTTACGAGCAACTTCAACTAATTTTACGAAATATCTCTTATTTTTCACTAGTGGAGGTATGGGTTAACTTTGACCATCAAAAGCTTGGACAAATTAAAAGAAATCACCTACTACTATTTTTGCCTCAGCTAAATTTGAAATCCAGATCCCATGGTTCTCAATCCATTTAATTGAACACTAGCCCCAAGGGCGGAGAGGGAGTATAAGTTAGGCGTTCTGACGGACCCAAATAGCTTTTGGTTAGACCATATATTTGTATTACAAAATCGAATTAAATTTGTGCAAATATTCAATAGTTTAAGTGCTGGTTCTCCAATATTACATCTTTACTTTTTCTTATTCTTTTGGTGGAAACTGATACAGTGATACTTCTATTGTTTTACGTTCAAAGATTTTATTTTTGTTTTTACATATTTACGGGAGAAGAGGAAAACTTAATTGCACAATTAACAATGATATTATTTGAACTCATATCACTGCAGTTTTTATTGCAACTTCTTAACCACAAACTGTTTCTGCGGACATTTTCTGAGTGGATAAGATTGATTAAAAAAATTTGATTTATATTTAAATGCGATTAGCTTTGGGTTAATGTTTTGGGATAAAATTTACCCGCACTTGCGACCAAACTATACCAACTTACATGATTAAGAGCCCGTTTGGCTTAGCTGATTTAGAGTAGCTGATAAGCATAGGTGCTGAAAAGCACTTTTAAGTGCTGAAGCTGATTTAAAAAATAAGCAGTTACGTGTTTGGATAAAAGTGCTGAAATTAATAATAAGCAGCTAAAAAATTGGGTATACAAAGAGTTTTGTTTTAAAAAAAATTTTAGGGATATAATAGTAAATATTTTGGTCAAACCTAAAGTGCTTATAAGCTGAAATTTGATAAGTTGGGGGAGACCAACTTATGGCTTTTGGCTTATTTTTGGCTTATAAGCACTTAACTTATAAGCACTTTTAATTTTACCAAACGCGTAGATAAGCCAAAAAGTGCTTATAAGCCACTTTGACCAGCTTATAAGCTTAGCCAAACACCCTCTAAGCTTAGCCTCTAAGAAGCTTAGCCAAACACCCTCTAAGAGGGTGTTTGGATTGGCTTTTAAGCTGATCAAATCAATTTTAAGGGTTTTGTTTTTGGCAAAGCTATAAAATGCTTAAAATAAATTAAAATTACTTAAAAGAAGCCAAAAACAACAAGCTGCCCAATCCCAACTTATTGCTTTTTGGTTTAAAAGTTATTTCTGTTTAAAAAAAAGTCACTTTTTTTAAGCCAATCCAAACAGACTCTAAGTGAATTAATGAAGTAAAACAATGTTAATTAACTATGGTTTATTGAGAATAATTAACTATATAAGAATGTTTATTAATGAAGCCATTGGATGCTTTGCATAATTTTTCTCCAATGGCTTCATTAATAAACAGACTCTAACCTATATATTTTACCTCAAATCACATCTAATTAATGTGCTTTTATATCACTTAGACCATCTCCAAGGCTGCATCAAATGTTGCACCAAATTCAAATTTGGTATAAAATTTGGTATTTTTTTGCTCCAATGGAACACCAAATCTTGCACCATTATAGAGCATGAATAGTGTTGCACCAAATTTGGTGCAACACTATTCATCACATCAAATTTGATTTATTATTATTTTATTCATCTTTTTATTTTTTGGACTTTTAATTCATCATATATTGTGTATATAATTAATTTTTATATTAAGATCTTTATAATTTTAATTTTATATCCTATTTTTTTATATATTAATTTTTGTATATATTATATTTATATAAAATTATAAGTTAATTTTATTATTATTATAATTGTATAAAAAGAAATATGACTATGATGCGCATTTCGCACTTCGTAATGCATTAATCGAGTATTTATGGGAGAATAGAGGCGAAAGTTAAATATTTATGTGGTACTTAAATTAAATTTGACTATGATGTAATATTTATTTAATTATCTTTTATCAATGATTTCACTTTTAGTTGATTTATCCTTTAAAATAATTTTGTAATAAATGATTATACAAGTGGTGAATGTGAATTATATATAATGAATATGGAAAAAAGAGAAAAGATAGTATTTGTTTGAAGGAAATAAAAAATAAAAAGTAAATAGAAGATAATAATATAATATAGAAGAGAGAAGATTTAGTGTAAAAAATGGTATGGTTGGAGTAAATTTGGTGTTACACCATTTTGGTGTGAAATTTGGTGTTAGGGTTGGAGATGGCCTTAATAAGGATAAATCAATGTGATTCGATGTACAAATGAGGATGTGAATTCGAACGTTGAAAAAAGAAGTTATGATAAAGTGTATTTTTTCTTTTAATGAGCCTTATATGATGGGAGGGCAACCCGATCCACGAAGCAATATTCTTGTACCTATAGGACTGATTTCACGACTCAAACCTATGACCTATAGAACTTACCAAAACAACTATATTATTGCTTTGAGACTCTCCTTCAGCCATATACAATGTGAATTCGAATTAATTGCCATTTCAAATTAGATATGAAACAAAAATAAATATTTTTACTCTTTGATACATTGGCTGAGACAACTACTAGTAATATGTTATTAAAAAATAGAAATAAAAAGTGGAGTGCATGACTTATTACGCAGAGGTGTCGACACAGTGGAGATCATTCTCTTTTAAAACAAGCGACTGTATCAAAGTCTCCCCATCACCTCTCTCTTCTTTCTTTACTAATAATGTCGACATCATTCTCAGTATCTTCTTCCTTTTCTCATCCCCATCTATTTTCCTTCTTTCTTTCTTTCTTTCTTTATCCTTTTCTAAACCCTCCCTATTCCCTCCTACAGCAACAACAACAGGATTTATAAAACAAACAAAAGCGGTTTGTTCTCGTCAAGATTTATTACCACTTTAATATAATTTTAGTCAAGACCCTTCAGCTATATATAGAGATTTGTGTTAGTGTTATGCTTTCTCTGTTTATTACGTAATTGGAAATAGAGTTTTTGAGGGACAAAATTCCCTCTCTTTTCCACATATCCCATGTCGTTCATTGAGGTTCGTTCTTTCTTTCTTCACTGCCCCCACACACAACCCCAAACCCCCTGTTCCCTCTTCCTTTTTATTCTCTTTTTCATTGCCCCATTTGTCTTGAAAGTTGTGAGTGTTATTCTATTCTTTGTTATTTGTTAATTTCAGGATCTCGTGCCCTTCTTTTTTATGGACCCAAAAATTAGAGAAAAGACGGGGGCTTTCTCTGGTAAGTAATATTTTGTGACCCCATTTTCTTTTCTTTATTTTTCTTTGTAATTGTTATGGGAAATGAGGAAATTGAATCTTTAATTCTGGGTTTTGCTTGGTTTGGTTTGTAATTGATGGAGAATTCTCCAAATTACTCTAATTCTTTTTCTTATTTGTTTTATGTTCCAATTCGATACTCTGTGTTGAGTCAGTGTAATCACTTGCATCCAGTTTGGAAGTTCATTACTGTTTTGGATTTTAAATTTTGGATTATCTGTTTATTATAGTTTATAAGTAGTTCATATTTTGAGTCTTATGATGAAAGTGGACATTCATTTTTGTATTAAGTGGTTGTTAGTTTTGTAATTATTTCAGTATCACTCACCTTTTCTATAAAAAGTTTTGAAATTCATTCATTCTCATGTTGTACTGATCTTGTTTTTATGAAATGATGGGGTATTGAATTCCAAATTTGAATTAGTAGTAAAGGTCTCTTTTGTATTTTCTTCGTATAGATCTTGTCTTCATTTGCTCTGCACATTCGTTATGTCTGTTTTGGCTGTTGAATCTCACTCATGTACTAAATCTGGGAAAGGGAAAGGAAGAAAAAAAGTCAGCTTTAGTTTTACTTTGTCAAAATGGAGTTCTTGCCTAAGGTTGCGTACACCCTGAATTACATAGCCGACTCTTTTTTATCTATTTTCATGTATGTACAGATTCCTTTGACTTCCATTTTCTAATGAATTTCATGTTTCATATCAAGATATTTGAAATGTAGGGAAACTTTGGTTAATGAGGAGAATTCTTGTAGTGTTGTTTTAAGGAATAAACAGAAAGAAATTTGATAGTTCTTTATTGGTTCAATACCTAAATTGTATAGAAATTGAAATGATTCTGACACTCTCTTACTGTTCCTTTTGATCAAAACAGATACCGTTATGCTAAAACTTTATCAATCTGTTTCCAATACTACATGTGGCAGTGCTGATGAAGAGATAGAAGGCTGCCGAGACAGCTCGGCTGCTCTTACCCTTAAAATCGTGGCTATCTCTGCTATCCTAATAGCTAGTACTTGCGGAGTTGGTATCCCGTTAGTTGGCAAGAAGCATCGGTTCCTCCGAACTGACTCTAATCTCTTTCTTGCTGTTAAAGCCTTTGCTGCTGGTGTCATCCTCTCTACAGGCTTTGTCCACATATTACCGGGCGCCACCTCATCATTAACTAATCCTTGTCTTCCGAAATCTCCTTGGTTGAAATTCCCTTTCGCTGGTTTTATCGCCATGATGGCTGCATTGACTACCTTGGTGGTTGACTTTGTTGGGACTCAGTATTATGAGAGGAAGCAAGAGAAACAAAGTCAAAAAGATCAGATTGATTCAGCGGATTTGGTGTCAGAATCAGCTATTGTACCGGTTGAACCAAAGGCAGGGAATGAAGAAGACGGTGGTGCAATACACATTGTTGGGATGCATGCACATGCAGCTCATCACAGCCATAGCCATTCACAAGAACAAGGGGCATGTCAAGGGAACGTGAGGGAGCATTCCCATGGTCATTCGCACTCCCATAGCTTTGGTGGTGGAAACGAGGAAGGTGGAGGGAGGCATGTTGTTGTTTCTCAGGTAATTTTACTTGCATATTTTTACATGCCTTAGGCCTTTCTCTGTACTTCTGCACTTAAGTTGGTTCTGGTTGGAATTGGGTAATGCTGTGTCTAGAAGGGTTTTGGATTATCTCAATGGTTGTAGGTTTTAAAGATATGAATTACATTTCCTCGATGTCAGGATTTATGAGAAAGAAAACGTTTAGGCTTCATAGTTGATTGATATAGAGAATTCATATAGCCAACTCCAACTTGTAGTTGGTAAACTTGATACAGTATTTTCTGAACCGACTTGTAGTTTTGAATGGTTTACCGAATTTACTACCACTTGTAGGTTTTTGCGGAATTGATATAGAGAATTCATATAGCCAACTCCAAGTAATTATTGATTGAGGCATAGATGATTGATTGCAACTATTTATGAGCTTCTGATTCCTTGAACTTTGATAAATACAGTTCTATAAGCTTTTGCCGAATTACGCTATTTCATTTGTTTCTAGATTTAGCTAGGTATTCTGCTAAGTTACTTTCCAATTGTTTCATTGTTTGGTGTTTAAGATTTTTCACCCAACCGTTGAGATACTGCATATATTGTAATGTGAAATCTACTTCTTATAGAATATTACCTTTAGTTTGTTAGCCATTTGTTAGATGTTTTGGTGTGGTGTGTGTCAGTTCACAGAACGGTTTATGCATTCACAGACTAGGGGTTTGCGTATGGTTTCTTGTTATAGCAGATTCATGGCGGCGCTTGTTTCTTTAATGTATTATAAGACCGGAACCAACTTTTTACTTTTTTTAATTGGCAAATGAGCAATAGTTTTATTACTCAAAGTTTGATTTTCCCCGTGTTTGTGAAGATACAGTGTTGGTCAGTTTGATTGTGAAAGCTTGGTCATTACAACGACTTCCTTGTATGCAGGTCTTGGAGCTGGGAATAGTATCACATTCTCTCATAATAGGCATAGCATTGGGTGTTTCAGAAAGTCCGTGCACAATAAGACCCTTGCTCGTGGCCTTGTCGTTCCACCAGTTCTTCGAAGGTTTTGCCTTAGGAGGCTGCATCTCACAGGCACAGTTCAATTCCCTCCGTTCCACTATAATGGCAACGTTTTTCGCCGTAACAACGCCCTTGGGAATTGCTATAGGGATTCTAGCTTCTTCGTCGTACAATCCACATAGCCCGAGAGCTTTGGTAGTGGAAGGGAGCCTTAACTCTATATCTGCTGGAATTTTAATCTACATGGCTTTAGTAGACCTAATTGCTGCAGATTTCTTGAGTAAGAGAATGAGCTGCAATACAAGGCTTCAAATAGTATCTTATTTTGCACTATTCTTAGGGGCTGGACTCATGTCCCTTCTTGCAATATGGGCATGATATTGCATTTTATTAGTATATGCATGTATTTTTTTAAAATTTTTTTTTTTTTTTTTTGTATTTTATTAACCACAAAAAAGCCAAGCAAGCAATTGTTTTACCATTTCTTTTTTTTTTTTCTTGATTTTACTTTTTCTAATCCTTGGGAGGATGTTGTTGTGGGCCCTGGTTGTGGAAGGGTGCTTTTGTAATAGGTATGGCACCCTGTTAGTAGGGTTGAAGTTGAAGTTGCAAACTGAAAAGATAAAAGAAGAGAAATATTGCATTTAATTCATGCAATCAAATAATATAAAGTTCTTTTCTATGTTGCATGAGCATTTGATGGGTTTTAGGCTGTGAAACTAGGGGGTTTATTTGGTAACGTGGATTCCCTTTACTTGTTATATCCATATGTTTGCAGATATTGCTAAACTTTTGATTTATTCCTTGTGAAATTTGACCACAAAAATATTATCCTCTTTAATTAATTAAAGGGAAACTTACACAAATGTCCCAAATAAATTTCAACTTACCAACCTCTAGCCATTAGTCATAGACTTACCAAAACTAGCCAACAAAAATTGAAAAACCAAATAATAGGGTTCTTTCTCTCAAAGAATCACATGCAAAAATCACCTTCCATATTTTTAAGCGTGATTAGCAACATTAAATACAAGACGGAAAGGAAATTTCATGGACGGGGTAGCAAATAAGGTGATGAAATACAAAAATCTATAAAATATTCTAAAAATCTAAACAAAAAAGGAATTTTTTCAATGGGTATGTTGAAATTCATTAAAAATATATAGATAAGCCAATATACAAAATTTGAGGAAGATTGGAGGTGACTTGGACTGGTTTGTATCAAAATTCGTAATTAAATCGAGTTCAAAAAAATCTTCTTCGACACATGTATCAAACATGTATCACGCATGTATCTCACACACAGGTATACATGGATATACATGTGATACACAATTGATACAAATATGATACATGTGTGACACATAAATGATACATAGTGTGATACACATCTCATTTTTTTCATGTTCAGCTTTTACTTCGAATTTTCAATTCAAACCAGCTCAAAACTTCACCAAATCATCCCAAAACTGAGATTCAAGCTCCTTAAGTTGTGCCCAGTATATTTTAATAACACCCACTCAAAACAAAGCAAAAATTTGATATTTTTTTGCTACAAATAGCTAATTGGCTAAATTGGCTAATATTAGTAATATTTTATCAATTGGCCAATTTTTGTAATGAGCTACTTATAAATGGACATAGCTGGTAATTTCCCTTAATTAAAACGTGTAGTTTTAGTCCATTTATACAGAAAATTATATGATGTGTTAAGACTATTATACCTTAAAAATATGGCATAAAAGTAGAAATTCAGTACGTAAAATAAATGTAATAGATGGATATTTGAAGGAATTCATATGTAGAAGGACTAATACTAATCAAATGTTAAATCTACTTAAGCAGATTTCATTAGAAGAAAATATTATAAGGACCAAATTTAAAACTTAGCTAATGGACAAAAAAGTGTAATTTCTTTCAAAGAAATGATGTTTTTGAAGTATAATGACCAACACATCTAACTTTCATAATTATTACATTCTTATAAAACAGAATTTACATCTTCAAAACCAAGCAGAAAACAGTTACATGAATTTTATAATCAACAAGAACAAACAATAACAAACCCCAGTAGTCAGAGGCGCAGCCACGATTTCAAGATTATGGGTTCAGGATTCTAATCGTTTTAAGTTACTGGGTTCTATATTAATAATCTATACATATTTAATGGATTTTTAAAGATAAATATAGAGTTCGAACCAAAGCTACTAGGTACAATCGAACCCACTCCCACACTCTAGCTCCGCCCCTGCCAGTAGTTTCCCCAAAATGCTGTCTGGGAAGGGTAAAACACTGCTACTCTTTAGGGCATGTGAGTTCTGAATTTGAGGTCTTAAGCAATTTAAAAAATGGCTTGATCTAAGGGTACCAAGTTTTTGTCACAATAGATCTCTTGCAACAGCTCACATCCAGTAGCTCACCAGTTAGTGATATATATTCTCTGTTCTCCTCGTTTGATTCCTTACTTCTTCTTTTTTCCTGATAAGCAGAGTTAATATTTCATTAAACTGCTCTAAGAAAGTACATACATATATATTAGCTTAAGAACTTGAATTCCACATTATAGGGATCTACGAAGTCCACTGTTTAACCCAAAAATAGATTTTTCGGTCAAAGTCAATATCAAAAAGAAATCGGGTTACTGATAACCAAAAATACTTCACTTTCTTGGTAATCTGAAGAATAAAAAGAATAATGAAAATAATAGACAAGAAAAGAAAACCCAAAGTAGATCACTAATCTCTCCCAAAATTGTGGTCTGAACCTTTTGAATAAAGTAATAGAATAATTGCATATATTGATAAAAATTCAGATGCGTTTACAAATAAGGATCAAGTCCTTATATAAGGATTCATAATTATAACGGTTTTTCATACTTAATTATGGCTAGTTAATGATATTAATTGCTTTGATTGTCCTTTATCACATATAATTGTAACGGTAGCATTAATGAATGAGGATTCTTCATAACCACGATCAATGCCGATACCCCTTCCTTATTTATAACAGTTTCATAAACCTTCCATTTTTATGGTCTTCATCCGTTCCGTACCTATTTCTTCTTTTCCAACCGTTAGGTCCGGTACCTTTTCTGGCAAAACACCGGGGTTATTCCGCTCGTGCCTTTTTAATTCTTCTAATTTGCTTAATTGGATCTGCCACTTGTTATTGATCCACGTGTCATACCTTTTTTTTCCACTACAGATAGTCCCCCAACTTTATGAATATTCTCAACTGAATATTCGGGAAGTGGTAAGTATTCATGGCAGGAATTTCTTGCCGCCTTTTCCCGATTATAATAATACATTCTTCAGAACCGATGAGACATGCGTCATGTCTATTTAATGTTCAAGACACATGTCTCGTTGTAATTGGCTCAGGAGTTTGTAGCACCTTTTTAGGGTTTTTCTGAGGATGCCCCAATCACGAAGTGACGTTTCCATGATGTCAGTTCATAGTGACTAACTCTGAGGACAATTGCTTTCTCCTATAAATACTTCATCACACTCGATTTCAAAAGTCCCTTCCTTCTTCCTTGCATTCATCTTCCTAACTTCTCTTGTAGTTCTTCATCTTCTCCCTGTATTTCATCCATTAAAGATGACTTCTCGTTCATCGAATCCTTCATCATCATCAGACCCACTAAAGTGGTGATCGTTGATGAACTTCCTCCCTCTACAGCCCCTACCAGAAGTAGGAGAGGTGGTAGACTACGTAATTTAGGTTCGTTGACATCTCGTAGTTCGACCCCTCAAAGTAGTACTGCTAAGACATCATCTTCTAGGGCTAGAACACCCATAACACTTAGATATTCTTCTAGAGGGAGGATCAGAACGAATCCATGCGAGAACCTATTGTTTCTAAGATTGTCCCACAAGAGTTCTCTTTTGTATCAGATCGTGAAGCTATGAAAAAACAGGTTTCGTCCATAGCTTCTATTAACCCTGCTGATCATTGCCCTAACTTAATTACCACAGGCCCTCTTTCGTTGGTTCGACGTGAATGCCATTAAAAACTTGATTTTCCAGTGATGACTCCTAGTGCTAACCAAAGAATCACCTCTTATCATGCAGGTTATTCTTTTGTTTACACCTATCCTTTTACTTTAGGGTTTACTCCTCCCATTGATCCCATGATCATTGAGTTATGTCGCAACTTCAATGTTTGCCTCATTCAAATAGGTCCCATCATGTGGAGGGCAGTTGCTTGCCTTCATTACTTATCGGGTTTGGTTTCCGTCCCTTTAACCTTCCGTCACTTGCTCCACCTATATTCTCCAAAACTCTTTCGTGATGGTGTCTTTTCCTTTGTGGCTAGAAGAAAAAGAGTTTTAGTCAGTCCCGAGGATGATTGTGACCGTGGCTGGTGATAACTGTGATTTTAACACGTTTTATGCCCATACTTGCCTATGCTTTATGTATGATTTGCCATAAAATAAACCCAGAATGCTTATAAGTTGCGCTTGATTGCAAGTTTCAGCAACAAGATGACAAAAGTCAAAAATCGGCTCGAAACGGAGTGAAACCTGCTCAAGTGTCAAAGATCATGAAAGCAAGGATATTCAGAACTTGGTGCGGACCGCACCATCATGTCATGCGGCCGCACCATAGGAGCTCAGAGAGTTGTCATTCACAGTTCCAGCCAATGCGGCCGCACTACAAGCTCACGCGGCCCGCACCACAAAAGTCCAGAGACCATCACAAGCCACTCATGCGGCCGCACTACAAGTTCACGCGGTCCGCGCCAGTCATCATGCGGCCGCACTCCATCATTGTGCGGTCCGCGTCAACATCTTCAGAAGGCAAGTCTCAGAAGTCAAGCAACCCAGTGCGGCCGCGTGTCAACTTCGTGCGGACCGCACGGACCCCGCAGGGGTATTTTTGTCCGGTTTTTCTTAACTTAGTATAAATAGAATATTTGCCATTTTTAGGGCACGAATTAGATACCAGAGAGGAGCTGCACTCGTGAGACAAAAGTTTTAGCCTATTTTGGGCATTTTCATCTTGTTTTAACGTGGATTATTGTAGATTAACATTCTAGTTAATTAATATGTTCATTTTATCTATTTCTTCTTCAATTTCTGTTGTTATTATGGCTAGCTAAACCCATTAGCTAGGGTTGTGGCTCAACCCTAGTGTGGGTAATTAATGGGTGTGATTGTTTAATGCTTGAATGATGTTGGGTGTTTGATATTTGGGTTAATTTTATGTTTTCACTTGGATTTCGTCGTTGCAAACACTAAGTCTAGCTTAATGGGTCTTGACTCTTCTTGAGAAAGAGTGTCTATGACTCCAAAATTAACCCAACAAGGAATTGGGATGGACCCATGAGAATGGTAGTCCCAATTAATGGGTAAGACCTCGAGAGAGTAATTACCCAACTTGAACCCTAAGTTGCTTGGTTTGTTGGCCTACTCAATTGGTCTCGAGAGAGTCAATTGGGCAAAATCATTCTTTCTACCGAGAGGTGTGAGAGTGAGTGCTATCGTGCAACGGTTATATCATAAGCCCCATAATCATCATTCTCGTATTAGGAATCTCTACCCGTTAGTTGACCACCTAGGTAAATGCCACGACCCTAGTGCCTTTCTCTATCTTGCATACAACCTAGACTTAATATCTTACCATAATTTAGTTATAATTAGTAGTTGTTAAATTGTAGTTGATAATCACAAAAACCCAA